CGGGATGCTGGCGTACGCGGCCTCCTTGACGGCCTGCGAGTCCTGCCCGGCCCCGCCCCGCAGGCAGGCCCGCGCTGGCGCGGGGCTCTCGGGCCGCCCGCCGGGCGCGCAGCGCCTCGGGCGGCGCGCGCCCCTGCAGCGGGCGCTGCTTCGGCGGATGGCGACGGCGATGGCGATGACGACGACGAGGCGACGACGATGACGACGGCGACGACGACTGCGATGATGACGATGACGGTGACGATGGCGACGACGACGACGATAGTAGTCGGGCGGTACTCAGAATAACAAATGACGGGGCGGCCGCTCACGGCAGCCTGCACGCGCCAAGCCACGGCCCCGCATCAACGCCCTGCGCGGCCGCCAAAAGAAACTCGCCGAGACACGCCGCGATGGCGGCGGAGACCCTCGCGAACAGCTGCCGCGCGAAATCCATTCCGAAACGGCCGGCGGGCTCGCCAGGGAGGGCCGCAATGCGCCGGGTTGCGGCGGCGATGTCTTCGACGAAACGCTGCGCAGCAGGCACGAACATGCCCGAGGCTTCCACCGCGAACGGGGCGACAGCCTCGCAATGCCGGGTCCTTCCTGCGTTTTCCGCGACGCGAACCTCGTGGCCCATGGCGCGCGATGCTCGGCCCGACTCGACGGGCGAGCGCGCGGCCACGTTTACCCGCGCCGGCGCGGACAAACTCGACCAGCTAACCGTTGACGACGACGTCGGGCCGCGCATGAGTTCGGGGATCTTCTGACCAGGGTCAATCCAGACCCGGGTCAGCAGGAAACCGAAAACTGCAATGCAGGAACAAAAAACTGCAACGCAGGCCTTCGCAGACCCGGGTCAGCCAATAGGCGCGGCCGCCTCGCGGCCACGAGCGGCTCCCTAACCCGGGTCAGCCAGAGGGGGTCTTCGCAGGATCCTGCAGGATCCGGTGCCCTGGCTGACCCCCGTTTGCATTGACCCCCGTCTCAAGGCTCCCGATCAGTGATCTCACCGCCGGCTTCCCGGCACAGCGGCCCGATGCGGTGCGGCCCCACCAGGCAATGGAGCGCGCGAAGGCCCGCGACATCCACGGACCTGCCGCCCGCGCCTTGTCGCTCGTCGCCGACCCCCGCCGGCGCTGCCACTGCTGGAAGAGGCACGTGGCGGGGGCATCCAGCAACTCCTGCAGGAGGCGGCACCCGAACAAGACCACGAAGGAGGCGCCGTGGAGGGCCAGCTCGCCCTGCCGCATGAATAGTGGCAGCGGTGATGGCGGCGGTGAAAGGAAGATGGCAGAGATGGATGAGGAAGCACAAAGAGGGAGAGAGGAAGAGGAGAGGAAACGAGAAGGAATGCAGAGGAGAGGTCACGAGCGGCTTTACGGATCGAGGACCGAACAAATTCAGAATGAAGACCTAGCACTCAGGAAGGTTTGGAAAAAACGGTCTCCTCTGACCCCCCAAGCACGATTGTTCCCAACCCTCTGATTTTGGGCACTCGTTTCGAATAGAGCGCTGCGCGCGGGTCTCCTCTTCCTCCCGCATCCCTCCTCCACTCCTCTTCTCTCCTGCCTCTCACCTCGCTCCCTCCTGCGTGCCAGTTTGCTTCCTACTTGGCCATCCCTGGAAAGGTGCGATCTGCCAAAACATGTCGCCACTTTCGAAGGCTGCTGGGGGCTCCAGCGGAATGACGTCTTACCCGGACTCAGATGAGACCTCGCCACCCCTGTGGGGCTGCGATCTGCGAAACTGTCGCCACTTTCAGGAGCTGCTGGGGGGTCCAGCGGAATGAAGATTTACGCAGACCACCTGGAGACCTCGCCATCCCTCGGGGGCTGCGATGTTCGAAACTGTCGCCACGTTCGAAGGCTGCTGGGGGTTGCAGCGGGGTGACTTCTCACGCGGTCAACCAGGAGACCTCGCCATCCCTGGGGGGCTGCGATTTGCGGAATTGTCGTCGCTTTCGAGGGCCGCTGGAGGGTGCACCACAATGACGTTTTACGTGGACCACCAAGGGACCTCGTCGCCACCTTCGGGGGTTGTTGGGGGGTGCAACAGACTGACGTTTTACGCGGACCACCAGGAAACCTCGTCATCCCTGGGGGGCTGCGATCTGCGAAAATGTCGCCGCTTTTGAGGGCTGCTGGTGGGTGCAGCGGAGTGACGTCTCACGCGGCCAACCAGGAGACTCCACCATCCCTGGGGGGGGCTGCGATCTGCGAAAGCGTCGCCGCTTTTGATGGGTCGCTGGTGAGTGCAGCGGAGTGACGTCGCACGCGGCCAACCAGGAAACTCCACCATCCCTGGGGGGCTGCGATCTGCGACGCTGTCGCCACTTTCGAAAGCTGCTGGGGGGTGCAGCGGAATGAATGACGTTTTACGCGGACCACCAGGAGACCTCGCCATCCCTCGGGGGCCTGCCATCTGCGAAACTGTCGCCAATTTCAACTGTTGCTGGGGGGTGCAGCGGGGGGACGTTTTACGCGGACCACCAGGAGACCTCGCCATCCCTCGGGGGCTGCGTTCTGCGAAACTGTCGCGTGTTGCTGGTGAGCCTTACAGAATGACGTTCTGCGCGGACCACCACGAGACCTCGCCATCCTTGGGGGGGGGGGGGGGGGGGGGCGATTTGCGAACCGGTCGCCACTTTCGATGGCTGTCAGGGGGTGCAGCGCAGCGACGTCGTAGACGGACCACCGGGAGACCCCGGCATCCCTGGGGGGGATGCGATCTGCGAAGTGTTCGCCACTTTCGAGGCTGTTGGGGGGTGCAGCGGAGCGACGTCTTTCGCGGACCACCAGGAGACCTCGCCATCCCTGGAATCCAACGGAAATGCGCATTTTTCTGTTACGGGGGGGTTGTGTCGAGTTCCGGAGTCGTCAGGAAGGAAGCAGAGAAGCTGGCAGGCGAGCTAGGCATCGCTCGCTGATTGCACTAACTAAAAGCAGGTGTAATCATGTTTTTGAGCGCCGCGGCGACATGGCGAAGGCAGCGCTGCATCTTTAGCGCACAACTGATAAAAGCAACACTCTTCGGCTTCCTGCCATCACTTTCGTCGTCGTCCTCTGTCCCCTGCCACCTTCCCTCTGCTGCTGTCGCGCTGACGGTTCGCCCCCCCGCGCGTTATCCTCCTGCCCGCCATTCCCGCCTCCATGTCCTCCTCAAGCCTGGGCCCTCCCTCCTCGTCCTTCTGTTGTTGTCCTGTGAATCGTGCAACGCCAGCGCATACCATGTGGCTTGCACAACATAGAACGGCGCCTGCACTGTCATTGTCCTGGCATGTTTGGGCCAACTCCTCTTGCAACTTGATGCAAATGGGTTGAGCACGTCACAGAGAAATTATTTGTTCTATGACCCGGGAGCGTCTCCAGGCTTAGTACGGGTTTCTGGCCCACCACTTTGGCTACGACGAAGAAGACCGGCTGGCTCTGGCTCACGCTTGACGTCCTTATGTCTCCCTCTTACCAGGTTCGGGGGGAGGTGCCGAGACGCGCACCAGGGCTGAGAAAGGCCGTCGTTCACTGCCTACGGGGCCTGGCCCTCCGTACTATACCTGCATGCGGGCATCTGGTCTAATCTGGTGTTGACACGACGACAAGTGAAATCTGGTCATACCGACTGAAATTTCCGCCTGTGAATTTGCTGCAGGCTGCGTACGGGTCTATGACCCATCCACGTTCCGACGACGACGACGACAACGACGACGACGACGACGGCCCAAGATAGCCCAAGAAGACCCCGACACGGGCCCAGAAGATCCCCAAGAGGGCCCAAAGAGAGGCCCAAAGACGCGCAACAGCGGCACCGCTGAAAGTCAACCCGTCTAAAATGATCCCCCAGGAACCCCAAGAGGCCCCCAAGACGCCCCTAGGAGGGGCCCAAAAGACCCCAACACTGAGACGCACCCGAGTGGGCCACCAAGGACCCCTGGATCAAACCAAGAAGAAGCCACCCGCAGCCCCAGAATGTCCCCCTGGGGAGAGCGCGGTTGCGGGATGGGCCGAAGGCCAAAAATGGGCGATGGGAAAATGGCAACTCCCTGGCCCTCTGCCCCATCCGTGCGCGGGTCGGTGACCATCAGCAGTCGAGGCTCCAGGTATTTGAGGGTGATCTGGTTCGTGAGCGTCCCCGGCATCCAGCGGCCAGCCAGCGGGTTGGCGCCTTGGATGTGGAGGAATAGAAGAGCCCTCCTCCTCCTCCTCCTCCTCCTCCTCCCCCCTCCGCCTCCTCCCCTCCTCCTCATCCCCTCCTCCCCCTCCTCCCCCTCCCCCCCTCCTCCCCCTCCTCCCCCTCCTCCCCCTCCACCTCCTTCCTCCTCCTCCTCCTTCCTCCTCCTCCTCATCCGATGCAAGGCGCGGCTGTCAAAATGGGGCTCTCGCCCTCGCGCCGCACAGAATCGCCCTGCGAGGTTGCAGCAGCCACAGCGATAGAGGAGGGCTCCTTTTCAAAGTGGGACTCTCGCTTGAGACCTCCTTCAAAGAGCTATCGCTAGCAGCTGCAGTGGGGCGCTCGCTTGAGACCTCCTTCAGGAAGCTCTAGCTTTTCGAAGTGGGGCTCTCGCTTGCAGCTATAGTGAGCATCGTTCAACTGATCCCCATCCCCACCAGCGTGGGCTGGGCCCCACTGGCCGATTTACCCCCCCCCCGATGGGGAAATGGGCTGCTCTCTTCGGGCTTCGAAGGGCACATCCCAAACTGAGGTGGCGAAACGGTAAGGCTCGAGATGTGGACGGGGATGGGGATAGGGATCGATCGAACGATCCTGATGATGGAAAGCTGCTGCTTTTCAAAACGGGTCTGTTGCTTGAGACTTCCTCGAAGTGTCTCACCAGGAGTGTAGAGCGTTGCAACAGTTAGACGGATGGGGGTTTCAAATGGGGATCTCGTTGAGAAACTCGTCGAAGTGTATAACGACGCATGTGCGTGTTCCTGCTTACGCGTTCGCGGGATGCCACGAAATTCTTGTTCAAAACGGTGCACTCGCCTGAACGGCAGGCCAATCGGGCGCTGGTCTTTCAAAGGAGGAGTTAGAAAGAATGCGTGCAGGGATGTATGAGGAGAGGGCTTTAGACTGGAGGGTGTACTGCAGCATCGCTGACGCATCGTGCGTGTACTCTGGTCCTCGTTATCTTCCTCTTCATAATCCTCGTCGTCGTCCTCCTCCTCCTCCTCTTCAGCCTCCTCCGCCTCTTCACTACTCGGCGGTTCTCGGCGTTATTTTCGACAATTTCCAATGACCTCCAAAGAGTTCCGAATGCGTCCAGGTATCATCAGATCGTCCACTGCAGACGCGGGCGTCCCCTGGCACGGACACTGCCCCAATCGCGCGGAAATGTGTCGGCAACCACTCCCGTCCCTAATATCATGCTCCTTGGACAAGTGTCTGGGATGGCTGTAGCAAGTTTACCCTGAAACCTAAGTTGGCGCTGGAGTAGGAATATGGATGCTGGCTTGGCGCCCCCTGTTGCTCTCATTGTAGTACAGCTAAACCGCGAATAGCACGCAGGCAAGATACTGGTGATGCATCAGAGGCACTTATCTTGAGAACTGTCGAGTCATATTCGGCTTGTGTCCAAGGGCACCTAACTTTCCAGACCATACAACTAGTAGTTTTGAAACTGCGCACGCGTGTGAAACCTTGGTGTTATAATGAGTGCTGATGTTAACATGATCTCAGAGGCAGGCAGAAAGGCAGGCAGAGCCCCACGCTGCAAGCACCTACGTGAGTGCAGCGGGTGGGCACCGGGGCGCTGGTAAAAGATGGACTGGCTGCTCAGAAGCTGGAAACGGGTCGAAGCTGGAGAGGCGGAGAGACGGGAGAGGGCGCCGGAGTCGGAGAAATGGGATCTGGAATCGGTGCGGTGGGGCTCAAAATCGGAACTCGACAAAACTGTGCGCTGGAATCGGGGAATGGTAGCCAAGGTCGCCACCGGGGTCGGAGAGGCGGGAGCCGGAGTCGGAGAGGTAGGAGCCAGAGCCGGAAAAATGGAAGCGAGCGTGGGGAGCCAGAGTCAGAAAGGTTTGAACCTGAGTCAGAAAAAAGAAAACGAACGCGGGGCCAGAGTTGGAAAGGGAGGAACCAGAGTCGGAGAGATGAAAACGAGCGTGGGGAGCCGGAGTCGGAGAGGCAGGAGCCGAAGTCGGAGAGAGAAGAACTGGCGCCAAAAACGAGGAATCAAAAGTCGCGTCGGCGAGCTGATGTGGATTCTGCGGGTGCCCCAAAAAAGAAATACTGGAGTCGGGAGTCGGAGCCATGATCGACAGGGCGGCAGAAACAATGGGGCTGGAGCCGGGGAAAGGACTGGAATGGAGCCGGAAGCGAAAGGATCGAATCCGGGGTCGGTGGTCAGAGTTAGTTCACGTATCCTCTCTCGAGTAAATCCCACATCGCCGCGGCGGCCATGCCGAGAATTTGTGAGGTGGACATGATGAAGAGGACGGCCATGTGTTGAAGACTGAGAGGGCGCGCCACTGGATGTCCCCAGGGGCGGGGGGGAAGGGGAACTCCTCCCCCCCCTTTCCCCGGTCCGTCGTCGGGGACCCCCCCCCCTTTCCCCAGTCCGTCGTCGGGGAAACCCCCCCCCTTTCCCAGTCCATCGTCGGGGAGCCCCCCCCCGCTTTCAAACGGAGAGGTGGGGGGGAACGAAACCCCCATCCCGCCCTTGGGCTCGAAATTCGAACCCACCCACCCACCCCTCCCCCCCTTTCGCCAGGCCTCCCCCTAACCCCAACCCCTAAACCCAACCCCTAAGCTTGGCCCCAAACAGTACCGGATACTCACAACCCATTACCCACTACCCACTACTACCTACTCACTGCTTCCTACTCACCACTCCCTACTCACTACTCACGACTCACTACTCTATACTCACCTGCTCACTACTCACTACGCCCTACTCACTGCCCACTACTCACTACTCACTACTCACTAAACACTACTCACGACTCCCTACTCATTACATGCCACTCAATACTCTCTACCGGGTAATCACTCCTCACTACGCTGTACTCGATACTCCCTACACAGTCCTCACTACTCACTACGCACTACTCGCTAGCCCCTACTCGGTTCGGTACTCAGTAGTCACTATTATTCACAACCCACTACTCACTACTCACTACCCCTACTCCCTACTCACTACGCACGACTCACTAGGACTACCCACTACTCACTACTCACTACTCACTATTCGCTACCCCCTATTCGCTACTCGCTACTCAATACTCTACTACTACTCACGACTCACTACTCGATAGTCACTACTCACGAACTCACTACTCTTCACTCACTAGTCACTACTCACTACTCAAAAATCACCACTCACGACTCACGACTCACCACCCACTACTCACTAACCACTGCTTACAACATACTAATCACGACTCACTACCCAGTACCCGCTGCCCACATCTCACATATCATCACACACTGCTCACAACTCCCTACTCATTACTCACTACTCACTTTTCTCTTCCCACTACCCACGACCAACTATTCACTACTCACCAATCACCACTCACTACTCACTACTCACTACTCACTGTTCACTACTCACTACTCAGTACCCCCTACTCACTACTCTCTACTCACTACTCACTACTCCCTACTCACTACTTCCTCACTGCTCACTACTCACTACTCACTACGCACTACGCACTACCCACTACCCACTACTCACTACTCACCACCGACAACTCACTACCCACTACTTTGTGCTCACTACTCCCTGCTCCCTACCCCCTACCCACTACTCACTACTCACTACTCACTACTCACTACTCGCTACTCACTACTCACTGCTCACTGCTCAGTACTCACTACTCCCTACTCCCTCCTCAGCACTCACTACTCACTGATCATTACTCACTACTCACTACTCACTATTTAATTCACACTACTCACTGCTTGCTACTCTACTCATTACTCACTACTCTATTCACTACTCATTACTCACTAATCCCTACTCCAAACTCCCTACCCACCTTCTCTGGCGCAGAAAAGGGCAGCGGGAGAGGGCCCATCCCTGGCGTTCTGTCCGGCGCAAACGCAGGAGGGGGGGGAGGAGGGTTCGACCCCCCCCCCCCACCCTTTCCAGCGCCTAGGGGGGGGGGCAGGGGGGGTCCAGAACCCCCCCCCCCCTTCAGGGCGGGGTTCGGACCCCCCCCCTTTAAGGAGGGGAGGGGGGGGATCGAAAATCTCACCCCGCTTTGAATGGGGGGAGGGGGGGGGGGTTCTGCGAGCACCCCCCCCCTTTCCAGCACAGGGTCCTCCAAGCGCACTTTCGAAGACTGATAGGTTTGCTGCCGTTGTTTCACCGTCAAACTTTGCACAAGTATTGACGTACATCGTGTAGGCATCTCTGCTTGGGTCGTCTGCTCCAGCGGCTTGCGCTGCACCGGAGCTCCCATTCGGAGACCCACCGGAAAGCAAGTTTGGCTCGTTCGCCAGCTTCCATTGTCGCCACGCGCCGCAAGCACGTCTGTTTTCATCGTCGTACCAAGGTCTTCCAGTCGTCAATACTGGGTCGCTTTATGCATTCCTTCACTGTGCGCGTGGATCGTCATCATCCAATCAACCCAAGGTTATTCCACTGCCTATGGTAAATCAAATGGCGTCGCTGGTGCCGGGCTGCCTTCCGCATCTTCGTCGCTGGTGGTGTGTGCGGTGTCATGGTCTTGCGTGTCAGCGTTATTGCTGCGAGCGGGTGCCACATTGGCGTCGTGTAGGCATTATTTCGTCGACATTGCTGAGTTGGCGTGCGGCGTGACACGAGCATAATCATCCGGAGCGTTTGCCGCTGAGTCTTCTGTAACCGTTGTTCCAAATGTTTTGTGGTGTCGCGTGGCTATAAACGAACCGTAACGTTTTGCCCAAGTGCTTGGCGCTTTTATCAAGCGGCAAGATTTCAATACGCATACCATCTACGTCCACATGCGTCCGTTGTCGTCCAGATCTGTCCGGTGTGCAGAATATTCGTCTTGTGGGGGTGTAGGGAGAAAGTCCAGCCTTGGCCGCTTCCACGCCCAGGTCGCCCAACATTGATTTGACTTGGTCGAGAGTTCTGCTAATGAGAATAATGTCATCGGCGAAGCAGAGATTCGTGAGGCGGTCGTCTGTGTTTCTCCAAGCAGGCGTCAATCTTCTTCGCAGCCCAAGTGTGCTTGACCCGCCGCAAGATGTGCTTGGACACGCTGTGAAACAATACAGAACTCAAGGGGTCACACTCTTTGGCGCCTCGTCAGATTGCAAAGGTCTGGCCGGTGCGGTCAGTCCTGACCGAGACAGTTCGGTGGCAATTGAGTTTCGACAACAATTTGGTGCCTTGGTCTGTGCGGGATTCCCAACTGCTGCTGCGCTACGCTGTCGAATGCCGTCTTGAAGTCCAGCGTTGCTCGCACAATGGGGTCCTCCATTCAACGGTTGGTGGGCCCTCGGCCGTGCCTGAAGCCTGCTTGGTCCGAGTTTAGGTGTCCGTCAATCAGAAATTGGAGGCGGTTGAGAAGTCGTCTTTTAGAGAGCAAATTGTAAAGGATGGGGATGGTAGCGAATGGTCGGTAGTTTTGAGATTGTCGTGGGTCTCCGCCCTTGTGTAAGACCTTCATGAAGCCATGATCCCAAAGGGCACAGATATGTTCGAATGCCCCTCTTGCTTCTCCATCATCCCCTCCTCGGCCTCATGCCCTCTAACATCCTGTAGACTGCCCCTGCAATAACTCCAAATGCCTACTCCCACTCCTCTTCATTGTCCCAGTCCCTTCGCTCTTCTTCCTCCTCCTCCTCCACCTGCTCCTCCCCCTCCTCGTCCTCCTCGTGTTGTGTTTCCTCTTCCTCCTCCTCCTCGTCCTCCTTCCCGTCATCCTCCGCTTCCTCCTCCTCCTCTCCTCCTCCTCCTCTTCCTCCTCCTCCTCCTCCTCCTCCTCCGTAGCCATTTTGGCTCATGCCTTTCCGTAGGCCCCCTGCTCCTGGACCTTGTCCCTCGGCGTACCCCCACCCCGGGCGGGCGTGAAGGCCTTGGGGGGGCAGAGCTGTCGGCCCGCGGGATGATGGCTGCGGGAGGCGCCCCTGGAGGGCGCCAGCTGGAGGCGACCTCGCGGCGCGAGCGCAGGGCCTGGGCCACGGCGTCGTCGGACAGGTTCGTGGCGCGGCTCACCGCCGAGGTGAAGGAGCTGCGCGAGGGCCTCGACGCGACACTGGAGGCGCTCAACGCGGTCGCCGAGTGCGAAACCCTCGCGGGCCGCCGGGCTGCCTGCGCGCCCGCGCTCGCCGCCCTGCTGGCAGGTCAGTATCCGACGTCGCTGCAGCGGCTGCGGCGCAGCGTCGCCCTGCACGCCGCTCGCGTCCCAGGCAATCTCAGCCGAGCCTCCGCGGCCTCCCTGCGGCAGGCGGCGAAGGGGCTTCGGCGGGGGGTCGCTGTGGAATGCGAGGGCGCAGTGGACGGCGACGAAGTGATGTTGGGTGGCTGGGTTCTCACTGTGGAGGTCTGTGTCGCGGAGCCCTCGGCTGGTGCTGGAACTGCGCACTTTCTGGGAAGGCGGGAGCACCTGGTGGTTGGCGGCGCCGCCTTTCGTGCAGGGCGCGGTCCAGCGCCCAGAGCGACACGGAGCAGACATCGATGCGATGCTGGGCGCGTTGGCGCAGCCTGGACTCATGGTCCCTGCGGGGGATGTCTGCCCCACGGCTGGCGGCAGTGCTGCCGCGCTCGGCTCGGATGGCGTTGGCCCCGTTGTCGGGGCGAGCTCCGACGTTGACGTCGACTGCAAAGCCACCCCGACGGCCAAGGAGGAGCAAGAGCAGCGCGACGCCCTTGATGCGTCCACCCTGGAGCCGCCGATCCTCTCTATCGAGGCGCCCACGGTCGACTCCGAGCGGGTCCTGCAGACATACGTGGGCGAATGCACGACCGTCGACGACGGCAACGAGGCGCAGGAGAGTCAGGCATTGTTTCCAGAGGACACGGAAGACTTTGATAACATCTCCGCGCGGCAGCAGCGGACGGCGACCCTCGTTATCCAGACGGGGAGGTCCACGGCCGACATCCTCGCGGCGATGCTAGACGGCCTCTGCCCCGTGTGCCTGTCGCCCCGTCTTCTTCCTCGCAAGGCGCCGAGGCCGATCGACGGCGATGACGCCTTCGCATGCGAGCTGAGCATGGACGGTATAGTTCAGCGGACTGCGATGGTCGTCTGCCAAAGCTGCAAGAGCGCAGTCCACATGGGCTGCTTGCGGGAGCAGCTCGACCGGGCGCGGAGCCAACGGTGTTCGACGAGCTCTTCCTGATGCTCGTGCCAGAGGCGCTGATCGTCCTCTCCCGGTTCGCATAGGTTCGGGGTTGCCCTAGTGAACCCCCCCGCCCTTGTGCGGGCCTTCGGCGCGGTACTCACCGTCGTCTGCCGGGGGGGCGGGGCCGCCGCCCACCCCGCCGCGGCGCGCGCGTCGGCCGAGAAACACTGCGTCCCCAGGTGCCAATTCCTATTCCTATTCCGATTCCTATTCCTAGTCCTATTCCTAGTCCTATTCCTCCTCCTCTTCCTCCTCCTCCTCCTCCTCCTCCTCCTCCTCCTCCTCCTCCTCCTCTTCCTCCCCCTCCTCTTCCTCCTCCTCCTCCTCCTCCTCCTCCTCCTCTCCTCCTCATCATATTCCTCCTCCTCCTCCTCCTCTTCCTCCTCCTCCTCTTCCACCTCCTCCTCCTCTTCCTCCTCCTCCTCTTCCAACTCCTCCCAATTCCATCCATCCATCCCTCCTCCTTGTTCCTCCCTCACTGCCTTCATCATCACTCCGCCGCGCTGCGTTTCGGGCCGAGCGGCCTGTGTACTGGCTGAACTTGAGCACCGCGCGGGACCCGTAGGGGCGCTGCGACGCGACGATGATGTCCGACCTGGCCAGACCCCGTCCTCTTCCACCTCCTGCTGATCCTCCCCCTCAAAAAGATGAGGCAAGGTAAAGTTACGAGTGCCACCACATGACCTGGGGCGGGTATCAGGAATGCGACGGGCATGAGGGTATGGAGGGGAGAGGGGGGGGGGGGGGGCAATTTTGCGATCAGGGGTGAACGCCACCCTATTCGCCAATTTCACGACACCTATCAATCGGACAATGGGCATCGGCAGCATTCCGGAACATCTCCTTTTGGACCTCCCATCACCATCCTGCCAGTCTTCCTCCGCCTCCTTTGTCCCCCATCCATCATCATGCGCATCATCATCATCAACATCATCATCATCAGCAGCAGCATCGGCATCCGCATCAGCATCTCCATAATCACCACCACCATCGTCAATATTGTCGTCATCATCACCATCCCCATCACCACCATCAGCATCACCACATCATAAACACCAACACCATACCCGTCATCATAACCATCATCACCAGCAAAATTTTCATCACCGACAACAACAACAACAACAACAACAACAACAACAACAACAACAACAACAACAACAACAACAACAACAACAACAACAATAATTTTAAGACTGTTCGCTCTTACTTGCCCGCGTGCCATGCAACGTGTACACCCACGCCCTCGATACCCGCCCCCTTCGTCTTCGAGCGTACCCGCTTCTGGGGGGATTCTTTCTTTTTGCGGGGGCGGGCGGGCTTAGACAAGTGGGCGTGAACGGGCGGGGAAGTATTCGGAGGATGGGGCACGCATCTCTTTGCCCACCATTGGAATTAGCGCGGGCCCTGCAAGAAGAAGAAGGGGGAGAACGAGGGAGAGTGGGAAGAAGGGAGGCGAAAGGGGAACACGTCAGGAGAGAGGGGGCGAGGAGGGGGGGGGGACGATTGGAGATAGAGAGACAGAGGAGGGAGGAAGGAGGAGGCTGGAGAGGGGAGGGCGAAGAGAGGAGGGAGGAGGGTTGTGGGAGGAGGGTGAGGGGAGAGAGGAAGAGGGAGGAGGAGGGTGGATATGAGGGAGAGGGGAGGGAGGAGGGAGGTTGGATGGGGAGGAAGGGGCAGGAGGGTAAGAGTGTGAACGTTCGAGGAAGTCCTAGGCGAGGGCGTATTCCTCAAGGAAGAGTTGGGCGGGAGCGGGGGTCCCGAGTACATTGTCAGACGTCTTAGGCGGGAGCGCCGGCCGGGCGGGCGGACCCTGACGGGCGGGTCGGGCGGGCGGGACATTCAAACAGGATTTTTACGTAAATTGCGAGAAAGAATTAAGCGAGAGCGCGATTCCTAAGTAAATTGCGAGGGCGTCCTTGGCGCGAGCGTGGTTCCTGAGCGTCGAGAACGCGATGCTGCAAGAAATTGCGAGGAAGTCCGAAGCGAGAGCGCCATTCCTGAGTAAATTATGAGGAAGTCTCGGGCGGGAGCAGGGGTCCTGATTAAGGAAGTCTCAAGCGGGAGCGCCGCTTCTGAGTAAAATGTAAGAAAGTCTGAAGCGGGAGCGCCCTTCCGGAGTAAATTTTGAGGAAGTCTCAGGCGGGAGCGGGGGTCCTGAGTAAATTGTGGGGAAGTCTCAGGCGGGAGCCGTTGTTGTTGTAGTCCGGGGCCCAACAACGCAATCTGATCCGCAAGGCTTTCCCTGTCAAAAAACAAGGTGCGAGCCCCAGAGGAAGCACTTCAATTGAAAAAACAATGGGCACCGGACATGGGGGGATCAACAACAGCAACAACAACAACAACAACAACAACAACAACAACAACAACAACAACACAATTATCACCATCAGCCGTATCAGCATCATCATCACCATCGTCATGTTCATCATGTCCGTCATCATCTCCATCAGCATCACAATCATCGCAAGCAGCACCACCATCACCGTCTTTGGCGACGCCGTCGTCCTCGCCATTGCTCCCCAACGTTTACTTATTCCGCTATTCCTCGGACCTCTCCCAGGGTGCTTTCTGACTAGAACTTCGAAGCGAAGTCCGCCGCGGTGACGAGGGCGCCCAAAAAGGTGAAAGTGAGGCAAGGAGCAACATTAGCGGCATCTTTTCCTCCACTGAATGATTCCCAATGTTTCCTCATGCCCCTTCCTCCTTCTAATCTTTTTCCTGCAAGCGCCGAAGCCCGCGCGCCCCCCCCCTGTAATCGCAGGCGATTGCGAAGACCCGGTAGCAGTCGGCGTCGCACCAGCTCAGGCGGCGACTTCCGCGGCCAGCGCCGCGCGCTTGCCCGGGCGGGCCGCCTCGGCCCCCAGCGCCGCTCGCAGATGGTGCGCGGTGGCCGCCTGCAGAGTCACGACCAGCTCAACGCCCCAGCGGCGCGCGAGGGCACTGGCCGTCCCAAAGCAACCCGTTGCGCGCGGTCCCGCGCGAGGCGCCGCAGGTGGCGCAGGGCGCCAGGGCCGAGGCAGCCGCCCTCTCGTGCGCGCGCGGCACCATCCGCCAGGCAATGAATTCAGCGCCGCGGGGGGAGGATATTTCAAGGACCCTGCAGGACTCCTCAGGAAACTTTCAGGAAGCATTTTGGGTACGACCACAAACCTCAGAAATCCTCAGGAAACTGCAGAAGGGCCGCAGGAAGTCTCGAGGAAGCCTTGAAAAAGTCTTGCGGAGCTCTGGAACCCTCCAAGAGTCAGCAGCAAACCTGCAGAGATCCCCAGGGATTCGTAGGGACCCCGTACGAATATGAAGGAATCCTTGGAATTCCGAATCTCAGCAACCGGCAGGAATCCTTACGAATCCTCAGACATTCGGGGTCCGATCGTAACCACTGTAAACAATCAATTCATCATTGGGGGAAGCAGCGAATTCTTAAAAATACTTGGAAACCACAAGTCCGCAGCAGGAACCCTCAGGAACCCTGCGGGGTCCTCACGAACCCTCCAGGGATCGCCACACCCCTGATGAATCTTCAGAAACCCATACGAAAACCTCCAGGAATCTTCACGAATCCTTCAGGTATCCAGCAGGAACCTTCACGACTCCTTCAAGAATCGGCAGGAATCTGCAAGGACCTGTACCGATCATTCTAAATCCTTCAAAAGTCTTCAGGAGTCAGCAGCAGGAACCCTCAGGAGTCCTCCGGCACCCTCAGGAATCCTCAAGTCAGGCGCAGATATCCCCCAAGAAACTTCAGAAATCCATCAAGAATCCATGAGGAATCCTAGGGGATCCTTCAGGCACCCTCACGAATCCCTAGGAGCCGGCAGGAGTCTGAAGTACCTTTTCACGAACTCGGCAGGAATCCTAGACACACAAACGCAAGGGAAGACTTCGAGAAGATATAGAAATCCGCAGGGATCGCCCCCGGGATCACTCTGGAATCCTCAGCGTAAAGCGGCCGCGCAGGTCATTCCGCCTCCTCCTCCCCCCCTCCTCCTCCTCCTCCTCGTCCTCCTCCTTTTCTTCCTCCTCTTCCTTTTTCTTTCTCCCCCTGGCCTAACTCACGATCCACCCCTCCGCTGGACGACCTTACACCCCAATAAATCCGGGGGCGACGAGACGGGGCAAAGAGGAGGAGCAAAGGAAAGAAACGGAGGAGGAGGAGGAGGTGGAGGGCGCTGTTGAACTGCGAGTGCAAGCGTACAAGTCTCAAAATCACGCGTCAACGCTGTGCCCGCGACTCGCAAGCAATTGCGTTTTACATCTAGGCCCTGCCTTTGCACAGTGCCCAAAACAACACGCACGAACTCGAGAACACGCTGGGTTGTTCCGTTTCCCTCGCGGTCCCAAAAAATATTGCGGACTCCTACGGAGCCCCGAAGATTATTCAAGGAATTCTAGGGCGCCCTTCGGATTCTTCAAGGTTCCTGAAGGATTATAGGACCCCGAGAGGATGCCTGAAGGATCGATACTTTGGATGTTTGAAGGCTTCGGCAGCTTCCTGATGGATTATGACAACTCCTAGCCTTGCCTGGAGGATTCCTAAAGAGGATCCCTGCAGATTCTGGAAAGAATCCCGCGGAAGGATTCGCGCGGATTCCGATGGGTTCCTCCGGATTTCGAAGGTTTCGCGAGGTGCCCACAGGCGCCCTGAAGGTCAAGCCGTTGTAAATTCAAGCCGTCCTAGGCGTTACTCGGGCTGGGCGAAAGGAGGGGATAGCAAAAAGGGGGTTTGAGAATCAGCTCACGTAGCTGATTTTCCCGGCGCGCCCCCGCGCCGGACGCGGCCATGTATCGAGGGATGGGACCGGCGGCGGGGCCGAAACCAGCTGCATGCAGCAGATGTCGTACCCCCCCTTTGACTATACCCCCCTTTCGTTCGGCCCAGGTTAGCTGGGCTGTTCGGGGTCATTTGGGGCCACGACACTCTGGACTCTCTTGGGCCGCATTGGGCCGGGCTGTCCTGGGCGCCACGCGGTCTCGCCGCGTCGTCTTGCGCGCGGTGGCGCAACGAGGGGCGCGCCGCCCGCGGCGCGAGCTACGCGGCAACCAGGGCACCTTCCTGGCCGCGCGCCTCCCCCCACACCCACGACCCCCAAGAATTCGGGGCTCTGTAAGTTTCTGCGTTCTCCTGGGGGCCCCCGAAGACCCCCCGGGGTTCCTGAACAATTCCTCGGGGATTCCTGGCGGTTCTCGAAGGACTCGCGCGGGCTGCAGAAGGTTGTCTGAAGATCGCTGCGCGTTTCGTTCCGGATTCATGGCAATTCCTGAGGGTGCCTTAGGGCTCAAGGCGTTTCGCGTGGACCCCAGAGGCGCCCGCATCCCAGCGGATTCTCAAGGCTCCCCACAAAGAGAGTTCGATGAGATTGGTTTCTTCCGGCATTCCTGAAAAACCGTTGTCTCACCGCCTCGCGGTTCTCCCTGCGTCACCGCCCACGCCGCGGAGTTTTCGCGGCCGCCCTGGAAGGCCCCCCACTCCCACGAACATGGACCCCCCCGCACCGACTGTGAAATTTGATACCCGCATTCGGAAGTTCCTCGGGGCCGAGGGGTCGGGCGGAGCGGGGGGGGCGTCGAGGCAGCGGGCGTGGGTGATGATAA